CTGGGGTGGCATTTAATTTTGTTGTACGAGAAGTACAATGACAATAAAGATTACTTTGACTACTTTGACTTTGACTTTAAAGACACTGGGCTAGAAACTAGGATATTTTGAGTTTTAGTCTTGCCTTAGGCATAAAACCAGCTGGGTGACTCTGGGTCAGTCATTCTCTCTCAGCCCTAGGAAGGGAATGGCAAACTACTTTCAAAAATATTGCCAAGGACTTTGTGTTGCTAAGTATTGCTAAGTACATGGAGTTTTTCAGGTAGTCACCAGGAGTCAAGACTGACTTGAAGGCACCAAAAACCAAACCAAACCTCTATCTAGTATAATTTCACTCACTTTCTCATTTTTCCTATTTTTTAAAAATGTTCTGTCCCATCTCCCTCATTCATTTGATAATATTTTCAATATCCAGAGGAAAACTGGCATACAGTTTTTGGCATGCTTCTCCAAATACACACGTTATTTATGTATGTATGTATGTATGTATGTATGTATGTATGTATGTATGTATTGTGCATGCTTTCTCTAATTTATACATTTTTGCAAATGATTTCCCACCATCTCCAATGTAACAGGTTTTCTGCATGCTTTCTCAAATGTATTTCTCCTAATTTATGTATTTTCCTCTTGTCAAATGAACCGCAACATTTGAAGAAGTGCAAATATCAGCAAGTAATTGGTATGCCAGTTCATCCTTTATAGTCTTTATTAACATGTGAACTGAATGAATCTCCCCCCTCCATCACTACCCCAGATATGTTAAATGTAACTTCCCATGATGCCTGCAGCCTGACAAATGGAAACAGTACTTGAACCAATCTTCAGGCATGAAGTTGAACTAAGCTTATACTGTTAACGTGGGAGTGTGCTTTCTCACACACAAACATATACACATACTATGGAAAGTTCTAGGGGACACCTATTCAGATGAGAGTTGTTAGCAGTCTGAATTAGTCTGTATTCAAAACATCCTCATCATGGAAAAGTCTTTTAAGACTTTCCTACTGTGGCAAGCTTTCAAGGATAGCAACTGATCAGTTTTAATTGCCTTGCTGTTTTCAGCTGATCATTAGATTTCAAGTTGTTCTTCCATTCCACATTTTCAATTCTGACTGCAGCTGTTCATTCAAATATAAGCCAGAAGGAAAGATACAATTGTAAATAAATGTTGAAAAGATACAATTGTTCATAAATTAAAACAAAACAAACAATACTCCATGATCCTTTCCAACTAGGGCTATATTCTTAGAAACATCTCATGGTGTGCGTTTGAGCATATCAGATTACAGAGATATGTCAGAAAATATAGAAAAACATGTCTTAAAATATGAAGACACCGAAAGGTTCTCATCACTTATTGCTTTGTTTTTTGAGATCTCTTGTTTCTTTCCTGCAATGTATGAATTATTGTGAAAAGTCATCTAGGGATATAACAGTCAAAAGTATCCCTCACAGGAACTCTGTGTCAGAGCGAGACCTACAGAGGGCTCTACACCTCTACAATCTAACACAGAACTTAAGATATCAAAATGGCAAATCAACAGCTAAACATGTAACATGTGACACATTAAACAACCATGGTTTGGTTCTATTTTTTCAAAAATGTAAGTGTGAACAAAGTGAACATTTTTTTCCCAAGTGAAAAGAGATAATTCCACTGAAAATATTTATAGGATTGTTTTTGTAGTTGCTTATTTGGTTTGAAATGCAGTAATCAATATCTGCATTCTACCAGCAATGGCAGTTTCTGGAACAATTAAACATGTTGCCCAGGAGTTAATATTCCAGTGACAGTGCCTTGCTATCAGTTTCCCTTAGTAGCCCTCATACTAAACACCTGAATCATTTTTCCAACTGCACAGATGGATCCCTGATCATTTTCACTTCAGTCCATTTAATAAGTGATGGGGATATAGCCACTATGTAAGTGAGAAGGTCTGGCCACCCATTGTATATGCCTCCAGCCTTGGGAAATTCACCTTACATTTGGCTTTAAAATAAATATCGTCATAATGCTGAAAGAAGATCTTTTGTTAGGCTGAGAGCTTTTTTAATAGCCGAAAACAAGTTGATTGATTGATTGATTGATTGATTGATTGATCGTATTTGTATAGCCACCCATCTCATAAGAGAGTGACTGGGTGGCATATAACACTCAATTAAAAAGAACCAGTAAGTACATATAAAGCAATAATTAAAACTATAA